TTATCTTTGTGAAAGATGAGATTTATGGTATAATGATTTGCAAAGATAAGAAAATAGCTTGGAATAGTAGGTCATCAACCTCAGCTTGGAAGATGAGGTGCAAAGGTTGGATTATTCATGAATAATCAAAAAGTGGGATTATTGAAAGAAGATCGCTAAAATGTTGGATTATTAGTTTCCATTTTCCCTTTAATTTATTGTTTAAATTTAAATTGATAACAATATATATGAAATAGTTACATATTTATGATTAAAATATGAATTGTTTATAGAAACGTAATTAATGACTATGGTAGTGATTTGATCATAGTAATTTATGTTCTATTTTTAAACTTAAATGACCATACTAGTATATCGTAGTGATATGTTTGAAAAAACTCTTATACATATAACATATTAATGATTACATACAAAGTCTTCTTAAGTTACAAAATGCAAATTCATTATCACAGCTATCTATTTTAATTGATGAGCCGACGTGTTTCAAAACTCACCTAGAATAAAAACTACTTAGGTTTAAAACTCTATTGAAACTGGTATGCTTTCTTGGTGAGATTACACATTTAAGAGCTTATTAGAGCATCTCCAGCGGTTAGCTAATTACCCACATAGCTTGGCTAGCCACATAAGCATTTACAGCAAAATTAAAATGTACTCCAATGGTAAGCTATGACATCTTCCTCTTCATTTATTATTAATAGTGTTATATTTAGTACTTCTCTTTGCTCAAGCTAGTAGCTCATTTTGGCTAATTAGCTTTCTCAAGCAAAAGGAGAAGTAACGCTCCAATGGTAAGCTATGAGCTTTAAAATTGCAAGCAAGTCCTCAAGAGGAACCATTGGAGATGCTCTTAGTCTCTTTATTTTAGTTTTGAAAAAAATATGTATCCTTTCGGTTATTTCCTATTCTGTCACATTTGTCCATCAATATGTCATATGTCCAAGATATCAAAACTTCATTTCATCTTCATCTCCATCTCAAATCTAATTATATATATGTGATTGGTGTTTTGGTATTCAAATGCCATACCAATGAACTCCAGTAGAGAACATTAATTCTCATTCTCATGTGTTAAGTAGGCTTATTTTTTGTTTTGTTTTCATCGAATTGAAGATCCTTCATCGCCATGGTATCTGAATTCATACAGGATTTTTTTTATTATCTTTATGATATGTTTTATATTTTAACATTTTTATTTTCGGTATCATATCAATTCTACAATATTGTATGTATGCGAAGTTCTTGCAATTATAGTATGCAAAATGTTGTACTGTTTTTAACCATTTAAATCATCTTCCGTATATAATGCATATATGTCATAAGGATAAGATGTAGCATATGTATTTCTAAAGTGCACATGTCATCTTACAAAAATGTAGTATATGAACTTCTAAGAGGTCGTTTGTCAGCACTGTTTTTCGGCTTATCAGGCAACTTTTTCACCAAACACGTAACTTTTACTTTCGTTCGCTGAGTTGTGTAATAAGCAGAAAAAGTAAGGTTGGAGTTACTTTTCTGGCTGTTTTGGCTGAAGTTACTGTAGATGACCATTTTAGCTATTTTTACATATATTTTTTTCTTTATTTTATTAATAAAATATATTTTAAAAATAATTGTTTCTTAAATCAGCAGAATCAGCCAATGCAGCCACTTCAGCCAGAACTTCAGAAATTTCAGTAGAATCAGCCAAAACAGCTGATTTTCGTGCTACCAAACGGGCTCTGAATTACTCATGTCATAATGGTAAAAACTATTAAACTGCAACACCAACATATTTGATCAATATGAAGTTCTATCATTATAACTTATGAAGTATATCCTTTTTAATGCACATCCTTTTTGACATTAGTATGCAGTTTGCATGTGAAGTTTGACATTAGTATATCCCAAAGCTTTACCACTTACCATTTATAAGTTTCGAAAGTGAAAGGTTAATTTTGAAGTAATCATTATTCTAAAACTCGCTAGACGTTGGTCGGCCGATTGAGGGACTTCTAACACCTAGGCGCTGACTAGGCCGTTTTTTTTTTTGTCGGCTAGATCGATTAGTTCTCTAAAGTTAGGGCAGCCTAGCGCTTAGGCACCAATTAATCGGTTCGACTAGGCTGATTTTTAGAATAGTGGAAGTGAATAAATATACCATGATAATTTAATTAAAAATGAGTTACGTATTAGATATTTTATTACTCTGTGTGAAACTATCCTTACAAAAACAGTTATACATAATTGTCGCAATTTGGGGGGATTGTGTGGATCTCAGTGCACGTATGTTAGGATGCAACACGAATTACTACATGTTGATCTTAGAACATCTCCAATGCAAAAACGTGAACAGTGCATACGTGACATGAATAATAGCCAATTAAAAAATAACAAATAGAATATCGCTTTCCTTATTTGAACGGTCTTATATGTTTTTGGTAAGTTTTTCTCCACAATGTCAAGCACAATGTCTAGATGTAGACACCATGGTTGACATTGCAGAGAAAAACTTACCAAAAACACATAAAACCGTGGAAAGAAGGAGAGAGAAACGTCAAAAATTTAATTTCTTGTGTCTATTTCTCTCATGCCACATGTACACCGTGCACATTGTAGCATTGGAGATGCTCTTACATAAACAGACGTATGAGACATTTTGCATGAGAGGAACATTTTTTACGTAAATTCAAATAATATTATAAAAACTAATTTACCATCATTTTTGTATTTACATAGTTTATATAAGTAATGTATGAGTATATTTTCATTGTAACAAAACTCAAATAATAATACATAAACAAAATTAGGTCAAACATGAGAGAATCATACTCAATAAGACTACAGGCCATGTTTGGTAAATGCATCAACCATTTCTCGGCTTAAATATTTGATCATTTTTAGTTGGTTTGACCAACTAAACAACCATTTTTATTTATGTTTGGTAAACGCTAGCGACACCGGCGTTTTTCCTTTGCTTGTTGATATACTTCGTATTATTATTATTATTATTATTATTATTATTATTATTATTATTATTATTATTATTATTATTATTATTATTATTATTATTATTATTATTATTATTATTATTATTATTATTATTATTATTATTATTATTATTATTAAACTAGTCAGTAGTCAATCCACCCGTGCGTTGCACGGAGAACAAATGAAATCAATTATTTTTACAAATAATTTATTTCATGAGTAATGTGTATATACATACTTATTGTATAAAAATACAAACATGATATGAAATTATATTAGAATACATGTATGATAATTGTTAGAGATACACCAATTAGTATAAAACTACCAAATAAGTATTCTTTCATCACATACATATATTGTCTAATGAAGACGATAACAATTGTTATCATATTACAATCTCATATGTAGTATGGAGTATTATTTAGTTATAATTATGATGATTTTTCAACACATGACATTACTTTTTACTATCTTGTTGTGTTTTAAAGTTTCTAAATATATTCCATCTAAAAAGTGAAAATATTTATTTTATACTCCGTAATATCTCTTCATTCATCTCAATATATGTTTTATAAAAGCTACAGATTAAGATTGTTAAAATCACTGTATGTTTTATAAGAACTACATATCAAGGTTGTTAAAGTCGCGAGTTGAATCGTAAAATTGTATAATTCAATATCATTGAACCAATTTGACTCATAAACAAAACTGGAAATGCTAAAAATCATTTCAAAATAAGGAAACATCATTAAAAAATGTGATTTTAAAGGATGTTTAAAATAGTTACTTGTTTACAACAATTCATTAGGTTGTCACTTAATATGGCTTCACTAAGTAATGCTTCATTAATAGTGACAACAATTTTCTAAAGTTTTATTTGTAACTTACAACCATTAATTAGGTTAGCACTTAATATGACTTCATTAAGTAATGCTTCATTAATAGTGACAACAATTTTTCACTTCTTTTGGCTCCAAATAGATTTCTATTTGGATTTCCACCATGTTCCCTTTATATATATATATATAAAGATAAAGATACCTACTTAATCCTTTCTTTGGATAGAACACTTTTTTCTTTCTAATTCGTTTTTACATTTATATTAAAACAAAAACCGGACACATACAATAATGTCCTTACATACGTAGTATCTTTTGGGGTGTTTGGATCTGATTCTGCTTCTGCTTCTTTTTTAAAGCAGATCGAAGCAGAATCAGAATCAGTTTTCAGAAGCTGGTCACCTCCAGCTTCTAAAAAGACTTATTCTAAGAATAAAAAAGAGCACCAGAATCACTTCTGCACTTTCACCCAAACACTCCAGCTTCTGCTTCTGCTCCCTGAGGGAGCAGAAGCAATTTTAAGAATCGGATCCAAACACCCCTATATCATAAAAACTGAAATTTTTGAAATAACTATTTACAAATAGTCAACATAACTAATCATTCAAAACAACTAATTTAATTCTCTCTTATCAAACCAGTATGAAACCAACTAATAGGAGTAATATCTAACTGCGGATTGCCAAATAAAGCCATAAGCTAATAGCTAATTATTAAACGTGGCCATATCAAGGATGTTTTCTTTTGGAATGAAATTTGTTGATCTGGTTTGGTCTGGTCTAATAAACGTCTGGTCTCTGTATAACTGTCCAATTTTGGTTTGGGATTGAAAACAGTCCAAAAAACATCCTAATATGCACTACCTTCGTCCCATTCTATGTATCTTACTTGATTTGGCACAATTATTAATTAAGTGGTTGAAAAAGTAAACATTGTGATTGAAACTTAATTATAACAATGTAAAATGATATACACCACATATTTTTTTCAATAAAAAATGTAACATTTATTTTGAGACAATTTAAAAAAGAAAATATGATAAGTAAAATGGGACGGAGGGAGGAACATACTTCGTAATTCGTATGTACTATCAATGGTGATGCATTATTTGAGAATTGAGTACTAGTCTTTCAAAAAAAAAGAGTACTAGCCCAGGCCCAAGAAGTATTATGCAATGCATGATTTGAGAATCGAGTATTCGCCAGGCCCAATAAAATGGTGGCGTGAGATTCACAATCTTGAACGTCGTTTGGCCAAGCTGCACGAACTAGGAATCATGGCAGCTCCCATTCAAATCGAATGAAACGGAAACAATTATCAAATTTCTTCTGATTTTAGCAGGATTGGTCTATCCACCAAAACAACGTAAGTCAAGAAATCTTCTCATAAATCTTTTAATACACTTTTCCCATTGAAAAAGAAAGTTTTTGCAATTTACAGCCTACATATGTCATATTTTCCCCTATTCTACACCCTTTCTTTTCGCTTTTGTAGCATTGTCCGCATAACGGCACATGATTTATGTGGGTTCATGTTTTTTGTTGTTTGATTAAATATTTTTCATGAACTTTCTTCCGCATGCTTTTTCCATTCATTTGTTTCTTTGGAACTTTCATATGGAAATTCCCACGAAAAGATATGGAAGCTTTGGGGTGTTTGAAGATCATTGTGATCATTTTCAAATTGATTCTGCTCCTTTAAGGAGCTCTAAGATGAGAATTAGGTTAATGAGTGTTTGGAAATAAATTTAGAAGAACTCCCTGATGATAAAGAACAGTTTTTGAGAATTTAAGGTACTTGTTTCTGAATTGGTTCTGCTTTTAAACTCTATTCCTTAGACCTTAAATGCCTCCATTGTTTCGTTCTCCAAATTCGGAAAAAGAGTAAGCACAACCTATCCCAAGCCCCAATTTTTTCATAATACATTGCTATTTCCATTATATTATGATTTTGATGCTTCAATTTTACTTTTTTGTTTTTTCCTTGAATACAACCACATATGGACGTGTTGATGAAATTAAAAATTGCAAAATCGTTTCATTTCCTTTATCTTGAATAATACAATGTAGACCTAGGAAAGTTAAAGAAAGCTTTTTTATGAATAGTATAAGAGTCTCATTTCTATAGTAGTCACTATGTATATTGGTGTAGTAGTGCCTAAATTTTTTCCGGGTTTGCATTTGGAATGGTTAAAAAGACTAGAGAAGTGGAATAAGACTCCATTTTTTATTTAGTCAGCTCAAACAGCCTGATTTAACCAAATTTAAATTTTTGGTAACAGTGTTGCAGACAGTGAGATGTCACAAGGAGCAAGGTGCATGAATATTTGAATGGCATGCCTGTCTTGCGCTCTTGCTTAGTAACATACCAAAATGGCGATGTGTGATAGCTAGAGTTAGTTCTCAGAGATTATATGGGGGATGACATGGAAACTAGAAGAGGTAATTTAGATATTGATTTGGAGAGTGGGGGGGTGATAGGAGATGGTAGAAGAAGTGAAAGCTTGAATCTGAGTGATGATAATCTCGGCATATTTTTGCACAGAGCATGGAATTCTTTGCCGGTAGAGCGTTTGAAAAATGGATCAATTTCAGGTGAAGAAGGTGGCCATTCATATGGGCAGATTTTGTGTGATAATTCTGTTAAGAATGCAGAATTAACAGATATTCATTCGAGCAAAGTGAAGGACAGTAAAAGAAATCCTAAAGAGAAGAAAGCAGCTAAAGAGAAATTAAAAAAGCCAAAGCCTTCAAAACCACCCAGACCTCCCAAAAATCCCTCATTGGATGCTGCTGACATCAAACTCATCAAGGAAATTTCTGAGATGACATTACGAAAGCATAAAAGCTTGGAACGCCTAAGCCTATTGAGGAAAATAAAGAAAGAGGGAAAATCATCCGCTAAAGCTAACGTCTTGGCAATGGGAATTACAGTTCTGTTCTTCTTTGTTATTATATTTCATGGTAAAGACGCCTTTCAGAGTTTGAAGATTTGATTATTTCAATTTGTCATTTATCTTCCCCATGGTTCTAGCATTAAATTATTTTATGCAATGAGTTATCAAATAATGGTATATTCTCCCCATTCCATGCTATAGATGCATATCTGCCTGACTTGGTTTGATTTTCGATATCCACAGTTATAGTGTTTTCTCTTAGGACCAATGAATGATTAATTGTTGCCTCTAGATCCGATTAAGACTCACAAAGAGCACATGAATTTCAACTTTGGTTTACTCCAATGAACTGTTGGAAAATGTCATTAAATTGCATTAAATGGTCATTTTGGGGCAATTTTTTGAGTGGGGTACACTTTCGATTTGGGTCGGGTCAAAATGGTTTCGGATTGTCCTTGCTTAGGGCTACAATTCGATATATGGTACACTCAAAACGGATAACGGGTGAATGAGAAATTAATTCTCGAAATTCACTCGTTAGAATGGAGAAAACTAGAAAAATGATGGGTTTCTAGTGTGGTTTTTTCCCACACTGGAAAACCAAAGGGAATTTGAACCCTTTATAAAGGGAAACCCTCCTTAAGGAGTTAAGAATCCTTAGAGTAAAGGCTCTCTCCACAACACCATAAATGCCCAACTCCAATAAATGGACGGTTTTCTGGACGAATCAATGCCAACGAGCTGGACATTGATTACCAACGTTCATATCTCCATTAAACCTCCATTAACACACCTCCAAATTCTTCCTATAATTAGCTGGCAGGTGATGTACAACAAAACACAACTCACATACGCACAACACTTCCTTCACGTATTTCATAGCTAAAAACACCTGCATCTACCTCCGAAAATCTTCCTCTGTGTTCTGTCTTTGTTCACGTTCGCCGGAACAATCGTTTAAGTGCTTAAACGGTTGTTCGTTAGGCATCGTATCCTGGGAAACGATTCTTGCAACGCTCCTAGCACCCCGGGAGGCAACGAATACGCTTTAAGTAAACTGTGCGTTGCACGAGCTTTGACTATTTTCTGTTTCATCTCTTTTCTTGTTTTTCTTTGTCATTTAAATCAATTTTAATTAATTAATTAATTTTTCTTTACTTTTCCGAAACACACCCAACATGAACTACCATTTGTCGGCATGGTTCCCACATCTATGCTAGGTGCTCCTCGTGCACGTAGATTTTTCTCTTGCTACGGATCTATCTCCATAACCTATTTTAGGAAATAGGCTCTTGTCCACTGATAAGTCCGTATTTAGACATGCATTTGATGCATGTTGGGATTGGATTTTGATGGTTTTTCTAGTTTTAAGTTGTTGCAAGTCTCAATTTTAGCTCAAGTTATGTTTACCGGACGTTGGTTCGAGTTTTGTGTCATTTGGAGTCAAAATGAGGAATTTAGAGTTCAACATCGGCACTTGAGGAGCAATCGGGATGATTCGAGATGCATTCGAGAGTGGATTGAGAGCTTTGGAGGTCACCGGGAGGTTCACGATGAAGATTTGATGACAAAAGAGCTCTAGGATTGGCTATGGGATCAAAAGAAGATGAATGAAGCTGGAAAACGACGATCAGGATGACCTTTGGTCAATCGTTCAATCATATCTCTTTGTAGAAGCATCCAAAGGACACGATTCAAGTTGCATATGAAAGCCAACTTCAAGGGATACAAATCATATGAAGACATCATTCCGAGAATCTAAGATTGGGAAAACGGAAACTAATAATCCAACCTTTTAGCGGTCTTCTTACAATAGTCCCACCTTTTGATTATTCATGAATAATCCAACCTTTGCACCTCATCTTCATTCACTGGTCCCTGACCGGTTGATGACCTGCTATTCCAAGTTATTTTCTTATCTTTGCGAAATATTATCTTTGTGAAAGGTGAGATTTATGGTATAATGGTTTGCAAAGATAAGAAAATAACTTGGAATAGTAGGTCATCAACCGGTCAGAGACCAGTGAATGAATATGAGGTGCAAAGGTTGGATTATTCATGAATAATCAAAAGGTGGGACTATTGTAAGAAGACCGCTAAAAGGTTGGATTATTAGTTTCCATTTTCCCTCTAAGATTAGAAAGGTGCAAACAGATGATGATGTCAGATGATCTCTGCTGCGATTTCAGAATGACACCTTCCACCGTTTTGATCATATCTCTTTATTGGATGATTCAAATCACATTCGGCAAATTGGGGTGGATAGAGGACTTCATTATCTACAATTTTCATGAAGAAAGTTTTGTCAAATTCGGACTAGAAAAACGCTGAAAAACACGGGCGCACGATCGTGCGTAGAAGTACGCACGATCGTGCGTAAGAGCGAAAAACGACCGTGAAGCTACTGCCATGTACGCACGATCGTGCATACCATGCCACGCACGATCGTGCGTACACCCGAGACGCGGATTTCAGCCCCTTTTTAGTCCCAGTTCAGCCCAAACTCATCTGTTTTCTATAAATAAGGCCTCCATACCCAGGGTTACGAACATTACAGAGAGGCCTAGGGACGAATTTAACACCGTTTTTACGCTATTTTCTTCTAAGACCCTGGGATTATTTGTAAGTTCATCTTTTTAATTAATGACAATTATTTCTATTCATCCCAATTCTGTTGATTCTTCAATTATGAATTGTGAGTAGTTTAATTAGGGGTTTGGGATTGATGAAGGGGTTAATCATGATTGATGACTAGATTCTTGTCGATTTAATTGCATGAATGCCGTTTAATTTGTGTTTGAATAATAACTGATATCTTTTGTAACCTGGAACCGCAGCTAGAATTACAATTGCTTATAGAATAAATTAAGAGAGATATAGTTTATTCTAGGACACATTCACACACACTTAATCGTTCGCTAAGAGATTAGTAGCGATTAAGGGGCCGTAAGGTCGCTCGTCTTGGCAATAATTTAGGATCCTGTCGCATGAGAGATCAGCCTGATCCCCTAAATTATTGTACTCTACGCCGCGAGAGCGGTAAGAACTTAGTAATGATTAGCTAGGCTCAATTAAAGTAAATTCATGTAATTAGGCCTGTTCTGCCAGAAATCTGGTTACCCCGGAATCAATTCATGTTCCCTTCGTCGTTAATTAATAAGAAAACCACATTTATTTTAATCGCTCATCTGCATTAGTTTTAATTTTAATTCAACCAACCAATCTCGCATATCGCATTTTAATTTATTTATTTTCTGTTTAATCGCTGAATTTAGTTGATTCTTAATTCCCCTTTGTCCGTCCCTGTGGAGACGATACTCGTACTTTTAACCACTTTTCTACAACCATTTTAAATGCGAGAAAACACACATCATCCACCACTGAGACAATTTATATATAACCTTGATGCTTTGTGGAATTAATTGAAGCTGACCCTCTTGTGGGGGTAAAGTCTGGGTACTAAAAATTTGTTGGAGTAAGAATGACTTTGTTTGCTGTATGGAGGACTTGGTATAATGAAATTTTTCATTAACTTGATTGATAATGTGTACAGCCGTATCCATGGATACTTGACAAACATATCAATATATATGGAAACAATATGTATATATATATATATATATATATATATATATATATATATATATATATATATATATATATATATAATATGCTAAGGAGGATTCCTAATAAACTGAACCATATTAAAGACAATGAGATAAAAAGAACTACAAAGACAAAGCTATATACACTTGAAATCTCATTGACCTATTTTTTCTGCTTGGTGTGATTTTTATTATTCTAAAATGCGGAGTGATGGAATGTAGCTATTTTTTTTTCAGGCCTTCTGAGCTCCAATAGATGATCTACCCTGCAAGTTACTTGTTCCTGAAGTTGCACCGCATATGAAAGTGAATGCTTTGACTGGTTAGAGTCAGTTTGGCAGCCATCTCTATCTTCAACTTATTGACCTGAAACCAATTTTGCAAAATACTTCCTTTGGGAAAATTCATTCTACCAAACAACCCTTACCCAAAGAAACTAATCTAACTTTTCTCTTGATTTATTGTAGCCAAGGAGATCAGTTGTACAAAATGTAAAACTCTTTTGGAGTTGTAGACTTCTAGTGTTTTGTAAAACTCTTGATTTATTCTAGTGTTTGAGGTGGTATTTTCCATTGGAAAATTTGTAAAATTAGTCCCCTAACTTTTACCATACCCAATACTGATCCTCTAACTTCATTACTTACATAATATGTTCTCTAACTAATATATTTATCCAATTTGAAGACATTTACGCCACAAAGTAACAATTCAGTCTGAAATTGACATGTCAGCTCCACCTGTTCTGATTTTTTCAAATGGCCAAACTGACTTGGACTTGGGACCAACTTTTTTTGTTCCCTCCCAAACAGTCCTTACTTTACACATACCACACATTTCATACGACAAAAACCCTAATTATTCCATCATTTCTCATGACCATGTTTATGGAATCACCACTTGCTGAAAATACGTGATTATTCGAGCGGAATTAAGGGGAGAACAATGTCTTGTCCTCAGACGGCTAAAGAGAGGATCCCAATGGTTGATATGCCTACTGTTCATCAAGGTAAGTATTTATTTAATGTATAAACTTCTGAAATTTGTTGAGTTGCTTTCTGAATGCAATGAAAATGAAAGTTGGCCTCTGAAATATGTTGAGTTGGCTGCTCAAAGTTGTTGTGTTGTCTGAAATATGGATTAATACTTGTATTTTTTTTCTTTTCGGGATTTGTTACTTTTTTCGAAAATTGTCTGCTAAATTGTAGAGTTGCTACGTTTTGTTTTTCTTTTTATGATTTTCTTTAAAATACTATTCCTAAATTTATAAATATGTAAGAACTGAATAACATTAATATGCATGGTGATACTTTGTTGGAAGAGCTTGATGTTGTTTTGGATGAGTATGCAATTGGGAAGGAAGCAGGGGATGCTGATAGTGATTCAGACTGCTTGTATGATAGTGACTACTTCATGGAATATGAGAGCACCGACGATGAACATTTATTTGAGGCTAATGTAGATACAGATGTTGAAGATAATGGGAGAACAACGGATTCTGTGATTGAATCAGACGAAGAGGCGGACGACTCAAGTGGGGATGATATTGCATATCATGGTACACAATTTGATGAAACTGTGTTGTCTGATGAGGAGAAGAAAGAGTCAAATGATCCTATATTTAATCCAGCCACTATTTTTGAACCTACATTTAAATTAGGGATGATCTTTAGTGGGAAAAAAGAGTTTCATAAGGCTGTAACTTCACATGCTATTAGAAGTAGACGGACCTTGAAATTTTCCAAAAATGATAAAGAGAGGATGTATGCTACTTGTCCAGCTACAGATTGCGGGTGGAGAATTAATCTTCGTATCATGGAAGATAGATGTAGTTGGCAAATCACTGAATACAGACAAAAACACACTTGTGCAACAAAGTCTAAGGTGAAAAACATGAAGTCTAAGTGGTTAGCAGATAAGTATTTGCACAAATTCAAGACTGATCTGAAGAGAAATGTTAAAGGTTGGAGGATGGATGTGATAAAAAAATTAAACTGTCATGTTTCAACTCACCAAGCTTATAGAGCAAAAAGACTTGCTCTTAATCACATCCAGGGGACATCTGACAAACAATTCTCCAAATTATGGGACTACAGTGAAGAGCTTCGAAGGAGCAATCCTGGGTCTACAATTATTTTGGGAACTGAGCTAGATGAAGCTGGCAATTCAAGATTCAGCAGAATGTATGTGTGTTTTAAAGGCCTAAAAGACGGATTTCTTTCGGGGTGCAGACCTATCATCGATGTTGATGGTTGTCACTTAAAAGGACCACATAAAGGGATCTTACTAACTGCTGTGGCCGTTGATCCTAATAACAGTTTGTTTCCAATTGCATATGCTCTTGTATGTTCTGAAAATGGTGAAACTTGGGAGTGGTTTCTGCATATCTTGAAGTCAGATTTACGCATTTTGAAGTGTTGAAATATAAACTAAAATGATATGGAGAGAAGGATTTTCTGTGTATTTCATTGAAGGGTTAAGTCCCTATAAATATACATTACAAATAGAATATTCCTATACAAGATTCTATACAATAATAATATTCTAAAGTATATTCCTAGAATATTCTGAAGCATATTATAATATTCTAAAGTATATTCTATATCTTTCACACTCCTCCTCAAGTTGGAGCATAGATATTTATCATGCCCAACTTGTTACATAAATAACCAACTCGGATCCCATTTAGTGCTTTAGTGAACAAATCTCCAAGTTGTTCTCCAGTCTTCACATATCCCGTAGAGATCAATCCTTTTTGTATCTTCTCTCGAATAAAATGACAATCAACCTCAATATGCTTTGTTCTCTCATGAAATACTGGGTTGTTGGCAATGTGTATGGCAGCTTGATTATCACACCACAATTTAGCAGGCATTGGTGTCTTCAATCCGATTTCACCCAATAAATGGCCTATCCATATGATCTCACATGCAGATTGTGCCATAGCTCGGTATTCTGATTCGGCACTCGAACGAGAAACCACACTCTGTTTCTTACTCTTCCAGGATACTAGGTTTCCTCCAACAAAGACACAATACCCCGAGGTAGATCTTCGATCATCTTTAGATCCTGCCCAGTCAGCATCAGCAAAACATTCTATTCTCATGTGGTCGTGGTTTTGATAGACAATCCCGCGTCCTGGTGTTCCCTTCAAGTAACATAATATATGTTCTACAGTAGCCCAATGGTCAATGGTCGGAGATGACATATATTGACTTACTACGCTCACAGAGTAAGCAATGTCTGGACGAGTGACTGCGAGATAGTTAAGCTTTCCAACCAATCTTCTGTACCTTTCTGGGTCTTCGAATGGTATGCCTTCTGAAGTGAGTTGCACATTGGGAACCATGGGAGTTGTGTTTGGCTTTGCTCCCAATTTCCCTGTTTCAGTTAGTAAATCAAGTACATATTTACGTTGAGATAGAAATATGCCTTTCTTACTTCGTGTTACCTCAATACCCAGAAAGTATTTCAATGAGCCTAGGTCTTTTGTTTGGAATTGGCTATGAAGAAAATTCTTAAGAGCCAAAATACCTGCAGTATCACTTCCTGTAATCACAATATCATCGACATACACCACAAGCAATGTGATACCCGCTTTCGTTTTTCTATAAAAGACAGAGTGATCTGATTGACCTTTTATCATTCCAAATTGTTCAATGGATTGACTGAATTTCCCAAACCATGCACGAGGACTCTGTTTCAGACCATAAAGAGATTTGCGAAGTCGACAAACTTTCCCATACTCCCCCTGAGCAACAAATCCCGGAGGTTGCTCAATATAAACTTCCTCCTGAAGGTCACCATGCAAGAATGCATTTTTAATGTCCAACTGGTGTAAGTGCCAATCATGAGTTGCAGCGAGTGAGATAAGTAACCTGACAGATGTTAATTTAGCAACAGGAGAAAAAGTGTCAGAATAATCAACACCATAGGTTTGAGCATAACCCTTTGCAACCAATCGAGCTTTCAATCGAGCAACAGATCCATCTGGATTAACCTTAACAGCAAAGACCCACTTACATCCAATAGATTTCTTCCCTGAAGGCAAGTCTACCAAATCCCAAGTACCATTAAGATCCAAAGCATTCATTTCCTCTACCATGGCATGACGCCATTCAGGATGAGACAAAGCTTCTTTAACAGATTTGGGAACAGAAATAGAATCAATGGAAGCAACAAAAGAACATGAGGCAGGAGATAACTGACTGTATGACACAAATGAGGAAATAGGATGCGTACAAGACCGTGTACCTTTACGTAGTGCTATCGGGAGGTCAAGATCAGATGTAGAGACAAGATCTGAAGATGCAGGTACTCGTTCAGGACATGAGATCGAAGTCGGGCCACTATCAGGATATGTAATCACAGGTGTCACAGGTGGGGAGTGATCTTGTGCTTTGTGTCGACGGGTGTAAACCAAGTGTACCGGAGGTCTAGGGTCAGGAACAGTGGCATTCGGCATAGTTACTGAAGGTGTGGTCTCAGGTATAGTAACTGTGTAAATGAGTATTTCATCGTTGTCCTCATGAATATCTGTCTTGGATGATGAAAAAGGTGTATTTTCATGAAATGAGACATCAATAGAAATAAGATATCGACCTGTACTTGGACAAAAACATCTATACCCCTTTTGAACTCGAGAATAACCTAAGAAAATACATTTCAATGATTTGGGATCCAACTTCGTGCGATGAGGGTTAACATCTCTAACAAAACAAGTGCAACCAAATATTTTAGGTGGAATGGGAAAAAGTTCTTTATTTGGAAAAAGGCATTGATAAGGAGTTTTACCCTCCAAAACAGAAGATGGCATACGATTGATCAAAAAACATGAAGTAGACACAGCATCAGCCCAAAACTGTTTAGGCACATTCATTTGGAATAGAAGAGCTCGTGCAGTTTCTAACAGATGTCTATTCTTTCTTTCAGCAACTCCATTTTGAGGAGGTGTGTCTACGCATGAAGTTTGATGAATAATGCCATGTTGAAGCATAAAAGATTTAAATGGAGCAGATAGATATTCTTGAGCATTGTCTCCCCTTAACACACGAACAGGAACATTAAATTGAGTTTTAATTTCAGCACAAAATGCAGAGAAATGAGTAAATAACTCGGATCGACGCTTCATAAGATATAACCATGTCATACGAGAATAATCGTCAACAAAAGTAACAAAGTATTTGAAACCAGATTTGGACACAACCGGACATGCCCCCCAAACATCAGTATGGACAAGATCAAATGGAGCATTTGCTCGTTTATTAAGTCGGGGACTTAAACTAGTGCGATGATGTTTTGCAAATTCACATGACTCACATTGTATAGATGACACCTTATTAAACTGAGGATATATTTGTTTCATAAGTGTGAGAGATGGGTGTCCTAGTCGGTAATGAGCCTCTAACAAAGTTCCAACCCCGAGACAAGAGATACCTTTTGTTATTGATGTATCCAAAATATAAAGGCCAGCCGACTCATGTCCTTTACCAATAGTCTGCTTCGTTAACAGATCCTGAAACACACAGTATCCAGGAAAAAATGTTACAGAACAATTTAGAGTGCGCGTGATTTTACTGATGGAAAGCAGATTAAACGCAAAATTTGGAAGACTCAAAACAGGTGATAATGGTAATGTAGAAGTTGGGACAACAGTACCGGATCCAAGGACGGGTGAGGTAGACCCGTCAGCTAAAGTGACACTAGAAGTAGGTAAATATGAATGAAATGATGAGAATAGACTAGGATTACCGGTCATATGATCTGTGGCACCTGAGTCAATGACCCATTTCGAGGATGATGAAACAAGACATGTGTTTGAAATACCTGAATTAGCAACTACCGAGATAGGGACAGAGGAATGCTTTAGAGATTCTTGGTAGCAAATAAATTTGGCATACTCGTCTACAGAAATAGCAATTGATCCATCAGAGGAACTGGTAGCGGAAGCGACATGAGCAAGTTGATTTCCTTGATTTTTGAATAGCAATTTTCTGCATTCTTTGATCAAGTGTCCGGGCTTCTTGCAGTAATTGCATATTACTCCTCTGTCAAATTGACCTGTACGAAACATTTTTTTTTTTTTGCTTTTTTTTTTCTTTTTTTTTTCTTTTTTTTTTTTTTTTTGTGTGTGTCGTGCAGAATTAAGGTATCAAGTAAATTAGGGTGACTGAAATAATATTTGTAGGCCTAAACTTACATAAGTACAAGAACCAATCGTAGGCGTACGTTGGTTGCTGAACAATCACACCCCAACTGAAATAGACAGCCTGGGAAAGAACGTACAAGGAGGCAAGGAGCCTCACAGGGTCCACGTTCAAGCAGCCACACCAGATTAGCAGGTTTCACCCTTGCTATGAAGCACCCACGGGATTTTGTCCAAGTACGAGTGAGACCTCCAAAATTAAAATTAAGGATACCTGGAAAGAGGAAGCACGTGCGGTAGAGGATACGACGGCGAGCGTGGTGATGGATCCGATCGAAAATCTGGCCGGCGATTACACGACACGCGCCGGCGCATGAGTTGAGATCACCGAGCTGTGGCGGCGCGTGCGGATTACTCGCGTATAGTATGGGTGTCGGACTTTGGTTTCTGGGTCGTCGGAGGCACCCGCACCACCTGGGTACGGTGATGATGAAATGTGTGATCCGAAACTTTCTGGTGGGCAGACTGTATGTGAAGAAATTTTCTGGGAAATTAGCTCAGGCTAATTTATTTTCTGGAAAATTAGACTGGTGCCTAGAGGTTCTGAAGAATCTGGGAAGAAATAAAAAATCTGAAATTCCTGAAGAAAGAATTTGGAGACAGACTGGTGTCTGAAGGTTCTGAATTATCTGAAGACTGAACTCAGGTTCTTGAAGAAAGAATCCAGTCTGAAACTTAAATTGAAATCTGAAAAACTAAACTAAAATGGAAGGCTCTGATACCATGTTGAAATATAAACTAAAATGATATGGAGAGAAGGATTTTCTGTGTATTTCATTGAAGGGTTATGTCCCTATAAATATACATTACAAATAGAATATTCCTATACAAGATTCTATACAATAATAATATTCTAAAGTATATTCCTAGAATATTCTGAAGCATATTATAATATTCTAAAGTATATTCTATATCTTTCACATGAAGGAATATGAATACACTTTTATATCTGACAAACAAAAAGGTTTAATCAATGCATTTAAGAATGTATTTCCCGCCAGTGATAACAGATTTTGTGTTAGGCACTTACACAATAACTTCAAAAATGCTGGATTTAGAGGGTTAGCTTTCAAAAATACACTGTGGAAAGCTGCTCAGGCTACAACGGTTCAAAAATTCAACCAGAGCATGCAAGAACTCAGAAATTTGAATGAACACGCGGCAGATTGGTTTGTTGACAAACCACCAAATCAATGGTCTAAGTCTCATTTTAGTGAATTCTGCAAAAGTGATATGCTTCTAAATAATAGATGTGAGTCCTTCAATTCTTGCATATTAGATGCTAGAGACCAACCTGTGATCACAATGTTTGAGTGGATAAGAGAGTATTTGATGAAGAGGCTTCAAGAGAATAGGGACAGAGCAAGTAGAAGATGGAAGGGTAGAGTATGCCCCAGGATTCGAAAAATAATAGAGAAGCATGCTGAATGGGCATCAGATTGTATCCCTATCAAGTGTAGTGATAGGCATTATCAGGTTTCCTCGTTTGATGGGACCCAATTCTGTATTGACTTGAATGAGAGGAGCTGCTCATGTAGAGGGTGGGGACTGAGTGGTATCCCCTGTAAACATGCTATCAGTGCAATATATAATCAAGATGAGGATCCAGAAGATTATGTGCATGAATGTTACACAGTTGAAGTGTACAAGAGTATTTATCAACACGTGATTCTTGGGATAAATGGAGAGGAACTATGGGATAAGGGCAACTATATTCCACTATTGCCTCCAAATTTTGGTAGAGGGGTAGGTAGACCATCCAAAGCAAGAAGAAAAGAACCTGATGAGCCAACATCTCAAAAGAAGAAAAAGTCTTCTTCCAAAACCATTGTTAAGCTAAAGTGGAAACAGAACACCGTTAAGTGTAAAAAGTGTGGTGTTGAAGGTCATAACTCTGCCACTTGTGAGAAGCGGAAGCAAAAGGGTGACAAATTGAAGGTAATTTTATATAACCACATTTAAAGTTCATGTGTTAATAATATCTTTTATTTGAACATATGATTTATATATTTCAGGTGCGGAGAAAAAAGAACAGTCCAAATATAGAAGTTACAATGGAATCACAAATTGAGAGCTCAAGCACTTTAAGTAATAGTGGAGTCATAACGGAGTCTGAGACGAATGTAAGTAACATGTATGTTCCATGGGACTATTTATCTTATTTGTATATGTTAATTGTGTTTACATGCATGTTCCATGAAACAGGCTGCTCTATCTGCTTCTGCCCATATGTTTGTTTCCAAGTCTGCTTTGCTGCCACCAATTCATAAAGATGTTATAAGAGAGGACTTTGAAATATATATGGCCACACAAGAGTCAAGAATCAAAGAAGTTGAGAGGCTTTCAAAGTTTGTTGGCCCTTCTATGTTTGAGCAGTTACACATGAGTAGAGCACCGCTACAAATGACTCCGGGAACAAGCATTACCTCTGTCTTGTCTACAGCAGTTCAAATTAGAGCACCACCCCCAATGACCCATCAACCTTTGCCAGCAAGAACTGCAGAACCTATGTTATCTGCACCTGTAATAGTAGAAGGGGGGAAAGTTTATCAAGCTCTCAAGTGTTAACAATCTGGGGAAGGGACCATCTTAAAAGTTAAAGATGCTTAGCTTATCTTAGATTAGCTTGGATGTAAATGCCCATCCTTTTGTTTATTTTTGTATTTATGGGCTTAAATTACCAAACTTTTTTGTAAGTGGCCATGTTTTTTTGTTGCAACATCCCTATTTTGTAAGCGGATGTTATCTGGCCATGTTTTTTTGCTCCAACATCCTATTTTATAAGTGGATGTTTTTTTGTAAGGGACCATATTTGGTTGGACAGGATGTTTTATTTATGTGGTCCTGCATGTTTATATAAATTTTTGGTTGGACAAGATGTTTTATTTATTTGGTTGAATATTAATATAATGCTCAAGCTTGGATGTATTCAAGCTTCAATTGTCCCAAGATTGGCCTCTTCCCAGATTCCTTTTTAGACTGTGTTCTTCTATAATTTGGGTCTCTTTTTCCTTTTTCTACCAACCAACTAGAAAGGATAGTTTGAACATTCTGGTTCTCCTTTTCTCGAGGCTACATTAATGGTGATGATGGTTTCTTGAGGTTTCCTTTTTCTTGTAGTACCTGGTTTAACAATACTTTGGATTGGTTTCAAGACAAACTGAGCAAATGGGCTAATGTCTCTAAATCTTCTACCTTTTATCTCTGTATAAGATTGCCCATCTTTCTTCTGATCTTCTTGGCTAATATCTATATCAAATATCACCTTCTCTTTCTCTCTGATAGTTCCAGGTGGAAATAATAATAAAACTTTAGGGGTTTGCAGCAGACTTTGAATCAGCAATGGGTAGGATAATGACCTCACTTTGAGATGGTTTTTCTATACTAATAAAAAATTCAGTTTCATGACAGGCTTGCATCAGACTTTGAACACCAAAACTACACTTAGAAAGTGAACTTTAATAAAGCAAAGTGGCTGACTTTAATCTTGTTGTTTTTTAATGCATACAAAAAAAACAAGGCACTCCATAAACAACATTAAAATAAAAGGCTCTTCTTAAATAAGTCACCCAAAAGTGTAATAACTTACAAATGTCTTATAGGCCAACATGATAGTGCCTTACTGCACCTTACATAAGATATGATACATTATACAATTACAATGCTCTACCCACAACATAGTCAAACACTTCTTACATCTTTAACACAAAACAGATTAGGAACAAACACCCTGGCATAATGACAACTATAAGTAGTCTTCTGTTTTTTGTCTGCAGCTTCACAGCCTCTTCCTCTTTTACATTCAACCTTCTAGGCAATCCAGGAATAATCATTTTTGAGTGAAGACACATTGGTGGATCCAACCAGTCAAAGAATCTGCAACCTTCTCCCTGGATCATCAAACATAAAAATAGCTCTATTAAACTGAATGCGGAGTTAGGCATTAACGACATGAACACTTCTATTGTAACTTAAAGCCTAAATTTCACATTTGTTTTGGACATAAGGTGATGTTCGTGGATTGTTAGTTAATGACAAAAGCTACTGTTCTAACTTTTTTAGCTCTATTAAACTAAAAAGTAGATTATACTTTTTCAATCTATTGCTTATAAATTCCAAATATAAAATAGCAAAAGTCAACATTAGGAAACAAACTGCACTTCACCCTAATTCTTCTCACCCTTTCAACACTTTTCAATTTCGATTTCCTCTTTATAAAATCTTTAATTTTTTTTTATAAAAGCTGCACTTTTTTCAACACTTTTCTAAGTAATACTACATATAAATATTTAATTTTATCAAGCAAAAGTAGAAGCCTACAAATTAAAAAGTTTGGAGTTCTTACTCTGTTTGTGGAGCACACATGGAACCTCCTTCCAGGTGAAGTTAAAACAGCAGCCTTCTTACCACAATGGCATTCCATAGATCCTTCCCTGTGAGCCATTATTTGCAAGACAGAGGGAAAAAATCCCACTTGCCTTCAATATGGGAGAAGCGGAAGCAGGGGATACACAACTTCTGTTGTTCTCTTAGGGTTTTTTCTTTTATTGTTGTGATGGACTTTGGAAGAGCACCGGGAAGTCAAGAACTCAGGAAGTGTTTGGGAGTGAACTGGAAAAAAGGGACCATATCCACATCACCAATAAGTTAAGAAAATAATAGAATTGTTTGAGCTGACATGTCACTTTTCTTGCAAAACTATACTTTTCGTCCCAAATGTCCTCAAATTGAACACATTTATTATTTGGAGGATGTATTTTGCAAGTATGCAAAATTACTGGATTAATATCGGGTACAAGCAAAAGTTACGGGGCCAATTTAACAAATTTCCCTTTTCCATTTTGGAGTGAATTAGATACTCCGTGAGCAGAGTTATAACTTACTTTAGTATGTGTTATGATGATCAAAATCCTGCAGCATATTATTTGTTCAGTTATGGTGAATATGCTCTAAAGTTCAATTATTTGTGACTGAAGGAATTGACAGGGGGCATATGAGCAATGTCTAGGTAAGAGGGAGGGAGATTGAGAGAAGTAGCGCGATTAGTTGACAAGGACTTGAAGAGTTGAAATGATTTTGCTTTGGCTATGAAGGGAGAAAGAGATATTTCACATTTTTTAGTACTAAAAAAAGAATGGTGAAACGTCAGCCCTACAATCAATAGACAAGATTTGTGCACTTTTACCTTTTCAAGAGTACAAGACTCCTAAAGAGGAAAGCTATTGTACTCATTGACAGAAAATTATCACCTTAAACTATCTTGATAAGTTTTTGGCACATTTGATACTCTGAATATTATGTTATTGTCACTTTTGATACTCGATTTTAAGTTTTTCCAATTTTAGTCGAGAACTAAAAATGAAAAGGTTGAAATCGAGTACAATAGTTGGGGGATCGAAAGTGAAAAAAACTCTATTTGAATATAATGATTCAATTATTAATTATATCGAGAAATTATTAAAGTAAATCCACATATCATTAAGAATATTATAAAAATCCATGAAAAAGGGAATATGTTGAAGTATTTCTATATAAGAAAGCCCACAATCTATAGTTGTTAAAATTATTTTCATAAGTAGTTGGTGGCAATATTTAGGGAAAATATTGCAAAAGTAATTTATGATCTGATCTGAATTCATTTGGTATAGTAGATGTTTATTGAAGTATGGACTGGTCTGAATTTGTCTATTCTGGTCATCCAAAGTATTTTACAACTATTGAGTTCTGGACCAGTCTGATTTGACCTATTTAAAACTAGTTTAGTCTCATCTGGCTAATTAAAAACATCCTTACTTGTCAAAGCTTCCACATCTATAAAATGAGGCAGTTTTGAATATAAGTAATTATATCTATTCAAAAATTAAAAACTACGGAGTAAAATTTTCATTACATTTATAAAAAAAATGATGCATTTCTATGTCAAAATAATACTATTTTATTTTTGAAATAAAACATACAATTGAATAGTCAACCGGAAAAAAGTGTGATCTAATCCAACAAATTTATAATTGTGAATGAGAGTTAGGCTTTGTTTGCAAACACTACTCCCAAGTGCTTTTAACTTTGTAAAGTGTTTTGGAAAAAGTGATTAATAGTAAAAAAGTACACGAGTGTACATTTTTTTTCATCTCAGTACCATGAATGATGTAACTTGTGCATAATTAGATGTAACTCGTGTTGCTACAAATGTAACTTCAGTTAACAACATATGTAACTTGTGCCCTGAAATGTAACTCATGTTCAATGAAAAAAAGTAGTTTAATTGTCCAATTATTTTACATAAATAATACATATGATTTGTTTTTAATATTAGGTCCATTAAAAATAATTTTTAATAATAAAATAATTTTTGATTGAAAAACAAAGGCTTATTTGTTGTGTAACTTACATAGTTATGTGAAGTAACTCGCATACATTTAGATGTAACTCGCGTGCATTTAGATGTAACTCGCGTACATTAAAATGTAAATCTCATGTAAACAAGATGTAACTTATTGAGAAAAATTTAAATGTAAATCATGGGTTACAAAATGTAACTTAAGTCAAACCGAAATGTAATTCCAATATACGTGAAATGTAACTCTATATAACTATATTACCAGCAAGCAAACATATAGCAGAGTAATTAATGAATAAATTCTTGCTACGTGTTGATTGAATTGCAGCAATTGGGGTGGGATGTGTTCTTGTTTAAATAGTCCGTATTTTTGAATTTAGTGGGATATGAGCCACAATAATACAATAATACTCCGTAGAAGAATTGAAGACATTAAAAAAAAAAAAGACAATCGCAAGCTGCCAGGCTCTGGCGACACAAGAAGTCGTCGACTGTGTCGGCTAAAGATCCAAGGACAGGAGATTCCATTGATAAGGTTTCGATTTCATGGGCAAAGAATTGAAGGTCCCCAGCGACGGGCCGACGGCACTAAAGACGGCAACCACATAATTGAAGCTCGTTTCCTAATTTCTTTCAGCCAGCGAACCCGATTTCAAAGCTATGTCGTTTTGGGACCAGGCACACCATCCTCATGGTGTGCCGGTCGTATGATATAATTTGCCCTCATTTTGGTTTCGAGACTTGAAGGAAATTAATGGAAAGATGAAGCTCACCTAGGTCAATTTTGATGATAATTTACTTAATTAAATATTTCATATTTTAGAATTATACGAAGTATAACAATATTTAATTAATTAAATCTCCCCTGGGTCAATTTTAGAATTATATAACACTATTTTAGAATTAAACTTCAAAATTCATTACACCTACACATCTACCCGCTCTATCTGTACATAATTTAAGAAGTATGCTAACACTATTGTCACAATTTATAATAAAAATCTACCACCATTACAACTATTTCATATATTTAAATGGAAAAATATAATCAACTCAAAGTATCACATAGTTTTAAAAATACGGACACATCATCCATACAATATATAATTGGTAGACTAAAAATATAATTTATTCAATTATTTACAAAAAAGGTAGGACAATTTCATACACTATTTAAAAAATCTCATAACAATCTCACATATAATGAAAATGTTAGGAATTGATGTAACATACCTCGAAAGTACAACAACGGAAGTTTAAAATTTTTCCAAACAGATTTTCCCTGATTATGACAAAACAACGAATATAACAAAATAATAACATATTTGAGTTAGAACTTACAGATCTTCCAGCCTAGCGGTGATAATAATTGAACTTAGGTATCCACATGATGTCTCCTTTCTGAAAGAACGGTTAGATCTCCCATAGATAAAGACTAGGAAATCTCTTCGCATGGAAATAAATTGTTAATACTGAATCTAGAAAGCCTG